TTGTATATCTGCTTGCTTTCTATTCATAATTTGTTTCTTTAGCAAAATGGTCATTCAGATCTTCAGTTGTCTTAACTCATTTAGTTTACTGTTTGTTCTTTAAGCTCGTCAAATGTTTTATTAGTAAAATCCTTTGACTGTTTATATCATCCTTAAGCTCACTAACCATTTTAGGAATTTGCTTATATATTTCTTCTTGATCTCTTCAAACATTTTGGCCATTTGATTTTTTATTTCCTTGCCTCTACTTCAGGGTCCATGAGATTAGCTTTTGGGGAATGTAGAATTTTGGGAGGCATCTTAATGCCTGGATTTCTCACATTTCTGTTGTTTTTATATTGCAGATTGAAAAACTATTAGGGTGTCCCTACTGTAGAGATTTTTTAGTTAGGTTCTGTTTCTCTGTGATGTGTCCTTGGGTTTGGTTATTCTGTTATTTATACCCCTCCTCCATTTACTCAGCAGATTTGAGGATCTTTGTGTCCAACCTGCTTCTGAGGGCTTGATCCTCAACACTACTCAGGAGAGAATGAAATGTAGTAATGTTGAGAACACGAAAATAAATCAGTGGGGCATGCAGTAATACAGAGTCAAAAACAAACTGAATGTTGTCATACCATAAAAACTACTAAAAGCGAGGGCCGGGGATTTGGCTCAGTGGTTTCGCTGCCTGCCTCGCAAGCGTAAGGGCCCAAGTTCGTTTCCTAATACAAAAAAAAAAAAAAAAAAAAAAACTAGTAAAAGCTACTATTCCACCCTTAACAATTGAAAAAATAGTTCTGCAATACTGTAGGTACAAAGACAAACCAAATATTGACATATAGTAAATACCTACTAAAATCAACAACTATACCACCTAACAGAAAATAATTCAGCAATAATAGTATGGTCAATTAAATAGCTAAAAATTAATAAAGCTTAATAGTAACAATAAAATGGAGGGGGTAAAGAAAAAATGAAAGCAGTTAAATTTGGAAGAGAAAAGAAAAGTTTAAAACTCCAACTACAGAATAAAAAATTATTAACAAAGGTAGAAGTAACATAGAAAAAGAAAAATATTTAAAAATTTAAAGAACAAAAGAGGATGGTAGCACTGTACTACGCAAAGAGAAACAAGTCCAAAAAATCTCACCATGTGTTTGGGTGAGTGGTTTCTTTCTAGGGCCTGTAGTGTTGGACTCCACCATATATATATGGGGGAGAGACAACTAGTCACAGTTAGGGCCTATTTTGTTTCCTGCCCATTTGAATGTTGGCTCTTGGCCCACCATTTCCACTTGGCAAGGTCAGTCATTGATGTGGTATCTGTCTTAGGGCCGTATTCACTCCATGAGTTCCTAGTGTTCATGCCCTTCTGTGTGCCCCGGGTCTCTACTAATTCTGCCTAGCTTTATGGCCTGTGGACTTGTAAGGTGGCCCCCTTGCTCCAGAGGTCCCTCTGTCCATACACACTAGGAAGTGGTGACTGTCCAAGCCAAGATGTATCCTTGATCCTATTTGCAGAAAACAAGCCACCTAGTGCTGTGCTAGAAGTAGGCCACAGGTTGACGGTGGGGGTGGTAGCAGTCTGCTGGACTAAATGCCAGCATTTTCTGACTGAGCCTTCTCAGAAAACCACATGACCAGCCTGGCTTTTCACCACAGAGGGCAGGACCAGTGTCCTTCCCAGCTTGAGCTTGTGCTGCTTAAACTTCTCTGTGACTAGCTTTTCCTTTCTCCACACCTATCTCTGTGGTCATCTCCTACCCAGTCACTGTGATAGGGTGACCCCAGAAACCCTGAAGTGTAGTTGTTACTTCTGATTCCCAGAAATAGCTCAGTGTTAAAACAGTAAAGCCCTTCCCTGAAATGACTCCTGATGATATCATTCCCAAATATGGTGGGTACTGCAGGGGACTTCATCTTCAGCTCTAGACTGCCACACAGAAGAAGTCATTCTCAGTAAAATCTCACACTGTATATGCAGTATGCAGTAGCCTTGGGCTTTTCTGGTGACTAGCGCTGCCAGTCTTTTGTTTCTCCCAGAGCTACCAACCCTCTCTGAGCTCACCTTGTTTTTTTCAGAGATAGTACCTCCTCCCTGGAGCTGAGGGGTAGTATTCCACACTGCTTTATTCTTCTGTGTTGTCTTCAGTTTCTACAGTTTTTCTGTTTTTTCTGGCTTCTCTGTCAGTTCTTTCTTGATTCCTGGAGTTCCTCTCTTTGCTAAATTGTTTTCCATGTGTCTTAATTCTAGGTCCCAGAGATTCTGTGATTTGCTGGTAGCCTTTATGATGCCATCTTATTCTATCACGTTATGGATGTTGAGGAAAAGAATTGAGCCTGTAGCACAGAATTGAGGAGCTAGTCAGAAACGTAGAAACTTCTAGGATAACACTGTCATGATGAAGTGTTCTACATCTTTACTATCTGGGATGGCAGCCACTGGTCATGTGTACCCTTTGAGTATATGAAATGTGCCTGATGAAACAGATAAGCTGAATTTTTAAGTTTTAATCTTCAGCAACTTAAACATAAGTGGCCACATGTGCCAAGTGGCTAACATTTGGATAATGCAGACCTTGACTTATCTCTCTCAGAGTGGCTGAGAGATGAGTCCAAGGTCACATAGATAATTATTGAAATAATTTTGATGTAGATGGAGTTCTCAGAGTATTAATTGATTTTGCTATCAGTAGATTGTAAAGTAAAACCTAGAAAAATAAAATATTTAAACATTAATTTTTGTTCCACTATAAAGACATGGTGATCCATCTTACTTTATAATTGTGTGATTTTGACAAATGGGTTCTAGATATAAGTCATCAAAACATTTTTCTTTTAACTTTTAAAGAGGTTTGATGTTTGCATATAGCAAGGGCTTAAAGTAGTTCACTAAGATTTTAGTTGTCATATTGAAGGGTTTGTTTAAATAAATCTCTCTATAGGGGAAAACTGATAAGTAGCTTTTAAAAAGTTCTATAATTCAGTTAGAGCAGGTGAATAAGTACCTGCTCAAAAAAATCTAAATCTGAAAATCATTCCACAAAGGAATAGTTTTCTTTTTTTAAGATGGAAATGCATTGTTAAATTAATAGTTTAGCTTATTTATTTTTTCCTCTCATGTTTTATGAGATTTTTTTCACTTCGTAAACTTTAGGAATGTTTCACCTTTTCATTTTTAAACTAATTTTAGACTTTCAGAAAAATTACAGAAATTTCACAGAGTCCCATGTGCCCTTCACCTGGCTTCCCCTAATGTTCACATCTTACATGGCCATGATTTTGACAGAGGAAGTTCACATTGATGCCACTGGACTGACTGACTTGAGTTTTCACCAGTATCCTTCTTTGTTTCAGGAACCTGCCCAGGATCCCACTTTGCATTTGATTATTATTTCTTCTTGGTTTCCTCCTTTCTGTACCTTGGTCTTCTTTTTTATTTTTAAAATAGTTTTGCTCAGGTATTGTATAGTGTCCCTAAGTTTGGGTGTGTGTAATTTTTTTTTTCATTCTTTGGCTGAAATAATACATTTTTCAAGAATAACACAGGAGCCAGTCATGGTGGTGCACATATCTCAACACTCTGGGAAGCTGAGGCAGGAAGATCACAAGTCCCAGCCCCACCTGGGAAACTTAGCAAGACCCTGTATCAAAATTTTTAAAAATTTTAGAAAGGGTTGAGGATTGAGCTTTAGAAATGGAAATGCTGATGGAAACTGCTTTCTTCTATATAATAAATATATATTAAAATTACTGTAAAATATTAGCCTATCAAAACATTCAAATGACTTAGCAAACATAACAATGAATTTTTTTTTTTTTTTGGTACCTTGTGCTTGTGAGGCAGGGCGTGGCACCACTGAGCTAAATTGCGGCCCATAACAATGATTTTTGAAAAGCTATAAGCATCATTAGTTAATGGGACAAGATTAGAATTTCACTAACAGAAATAAACTATTCAATAATGAGAAAGGGAAAGTTTTCAAATGAGGCAGTTCTTTCTTCATTGGAAAATTAAGAAACGAATTATCAGGCTGGGAATTTAGCTCAGTAGGCTGGGTATTTAACTCAGTGGTGCCACTGCCTGCCTCACCAAGCTGAAAGTTCCACGTTTAATTCCCAGTACAAAAAAAAAAAAAAGAAAAGAAAAAGAAAGGAATTACCACAAGAACAGTCTTCCCAACTAATAGAATTGTCTTTGTGTAGAAAATCATCTTGGTTGAGAAACTTACTAAGGTCACTTACAAGTAGAATATTTAATGATGAAAAAGGGATTGCTCTAGTCTTCTATATGTGCCACTGGAATTATATCAGGAGTTAAGTCACTAGTCCAGGTTGAGCCTATCATATCAACTGTTTGGTAATAAATTTGTATGTTTTTGGCATTTAGAAATCCTGAACATCATGCTATAAATCAATAAGAATTTAAAAAGCAATGCTATATGACATGCCCCAAACCTTATTGACACTTAAGCAGCCATTTAGTACTCTTTTTAAAAAGTACCTTGTTAGCTGGAGATTTAACTCACTGGTGCCACACCTGTCTCAAAAGTGCAAGGTCCTGAGTTTGATCCCCAGTAGTGGGGGGAAAAAAAACTACATTGTTTTTAGATTTTTTTGTTTATTTTTACATAATATTTATTTCTCAAAAGAGAATGGGGAGAGCTGGGTTTGGTGGCATGTACCTATAATCCCAGCTACTCAGGAGGCTGAGGCAGGAGGAGGAGACCTGAGTTTAGGAGTTTGAGAGTCCTGGGCAACATAGTAAGATCCTGTCTGGGGTGAGGAAGAAGGAGGAAGGAAATGGTAGATACTACCTGTATTTTTATAGTGAAAGTGGGAATCAGCCTAGTACTTTGATGCTTTTTATATCTCTTAACTGGAAATGTTTCAGTGGAGTTTTTGTGTTTTTATTGCTTTGGGGTTGTCTGAACACATTCTTATATAAAGAACTGAGTGCTGCTGTCACTTCAGAAACAGTATTCAGTATAATGAATGGAATTTTCTTGTTATTTTAGTTCAGCAATCAGCAAACACTGGGAGGCTGAACTGGCTACCCTCAAAGGAAATAATGCCAAACTCACTGCAGCCCTGTTGGAGTCCACTGCCAACGTGAAACAGTGGAAACAGCAGCTCGCTGCATATCAGGAGGAAGCAGAACGCCTGCACAAACGGGTGAGTTCAATCTGCTGTCCCTAGGACTCCAGATAATGGATTTCCTCCATCAGAGGAAATTTGCATGTAGATTCAACACCAAAACATCTTCTGGGGATGTTCAGTGATTGTCAGAATATAGCCTTGGGTTGTATTGTGGTTGGTTTGTTGGGTTAAGGAAAATATTTTCCATAGTTTAATGAAAATGAAGATCATACAGCTTTTGAAATCATATGGGCTAATTGACCTTTGTATATTGTTTCTTTCAGCTCAGTATTTTCATCTATAAAAAAGGGATAATGTGTACTCTGTACAATTCTTCATTGTTTTATTTTTTACTGTATTTTTAAAGAAGGAAAAATTTTAAAAACAAAAAAATATAGATAGAAAACCACTAAAAATTGGTAACAGAGATTTGAGACAGAAAAAGAAAAGCACAAATCCCAATCCCATTGATATCAGAAACCCAAACAATTACTAATTTTTTTATTGAAAGTATAAAAATGCATTCACCCTACAGGAAGCAGATGGGAGTTAATTTCCCTTTTCACAAAGGATGTCAAGAAGACAAACTCCGTAACAATAGAGAATGGGCTTACCAACAGCTTTATGTGAGGGATGTGATAGGACCAGGATGACAAGAATGTGAGTAGGAATGGGATAGAAACAAAAAGTTAGAAACCTGAGAACATGTCTGTCTGATGTGTAAAAATTAACTTAAGAGGGAGGTTGGAAGGGGAGCTGTTTAATTAGCATATACTTTCAGATTAGCAAGATGAAAGAGATCTGGAAATCAGTCTCACGCCAGTGTGAATACACTTAAGACACTACTGAATTATATACTTCTTAAAAAGGATGGAGATGATAAATTTTGTCATGTTTTTATCGTAAAAAGTAACTTTTAACAATTAAATTATAGGCAATAAGTACTCCCTTAGCTATCATGACTCCTTATTGTGTCATCCCTGTCATTAAAGAAGTTTTGCTCAGTCATTTGACCGCTAAAGAATTTAAGAAAGGAAGAAAATGACCCTTTTATTTACTCACAGATTTTTAATTTCCAGTGTTCTTGTTTTCTATAGATCTGAATTTCTGTCAGCTGTCATTTCCCTGCAGCCCAAATGACTTCCTTTAGGGTTTCTTTTTTTGCAAGTATACTGGCAATAAATTATCTCAGCTTTTGTTCAGACAATTTGTCTCTTAACTACAGGTTCATTTCCCCCCCCTTTTTTTTTTTACAAGATAGTCATTTTAACTGTATATTGGACATTGAAATGAAGTTTTGTACCCAGAACATGCCTGATCTCATCTGAAATAAAGTTTTGTAGAGACCATAGTTTTACTGTCTTCCTTTGAAGAACATAGTTTTGTTGTTGTTGTTGTTGTTGTTGTTGTTGTTGTTTTTTAATTAGCAGTCAGTTAAATTGCTTGTGAGTTAGCTTGATTTTGTAGAATTGTGGGCCTATATATTGTTGGGGTCGCTTTTTTTCAATCTTTCCTTAATTCTAAGTTAAATCACTTAGTCCTAGGAAACCTTGAGAATACAGCTGTTCTGAGATAGCACCAGAAAGCTGGGGTCATCGTGGCAGGATAGGGCTGTAAATTCTACTCTGGGGGAAGCACTGCCAAAGCCTGTTCTTTTGGCCATCAGAGTTTGGTTCTCATGTTCCTGGGCCCCTGGGTTCTCATCTGTGCCTGTTAAACTGGGATTACCTGAAAGCTGAGGAAAGCCTGTGTGTTTATTTGGGGACTCCTTTCTTTAACTCCCTAACTTCTGGCTGGTCCATCTATTCCAAGGACTCTGTAGTTTTCTGTTTAAGTTCATCCAAGCAGTTAAGCAGGATGGCAGGTGACTGCCTGCAGGCGAAAAAATGTGTGAATATGTATTTTACCCAAAGTGACTGCTTTCTTTCAGTCTTCTGACAATTTGGTTACTCATTGGAGCCTTCAAACAGTTGATTTTTATATTTTATCCACAGTTTGTGATTGTTATCTACAGAAAAAATAGTCTGTTAATCGTCATTATCAGAACTGGAACCATATTATCTAATCAGACAGCTGTACCTATTCAACAATGAGGAGCTAATTCTCAAGATTTTTTAACAGATCCTGTGTTTTGTAAAGCAGAATAGGAGAGCTCTGCAGGCTTGTGTAAGTAAGCCTGGCTATCTGGAGAAAGTGGTGAGCTGAGAGGAGATGGTTTGGTCGGGTCAGAATGATTTTCCAACATCTGAGAAAGGGCAGTCCAGTGAAGTCAAGAAGGTAGACATGAGCAACAGCTTGTTTGCAGAACCAGGAGACCATCCTGCTTTTAGTTGGAGGTATATATTTTGGCCAAAGAGGATATGTGAATAATTGGGGTTAATTAGGGAAATGTAAATAGAAACTACACTTAAACAGGGCATGGTGGTGCAGGCCTGTAATCCTGTAACTCAAGAAGCTGAGACAGGAGGATCACCACAAGTTTGAGGCCAGCCTGGGCTACATAATGAGTTCAAGGCCAATCTGGACTACATAGCAAAACCTGTCTCAAAAAAACCAAAAAAGAAAGAATCCCGCTGATTAATGTAGGAAAGGGGTGTGGGGGACAGGGAGGAAGAAAGAAAAGGTATCTAGCTCTTTGGGCTGTCAGTAAATTTTTACATACTAAAGAAAGCTTATCTTATAAGAAATACTATGAATATGAAGCCATTCTAGTATTGAATAATGTAAGCTGTATTTTAAGCATATATTTTCTTCTAAATTCCGTTACATTTTGGAAATGTACTTGAAAAACTTCTCACTTCTGCAAGACCAGTTTTCACAGCCCATTTTTAATTTGAAGGCTGTAGATGAAGGACAGATGGCCATATATCATCTTGAATATGTGTTCAGAAAAAATTTTTAAGGAAAACTTTAATTATAGGATTTCTCTGCTATCAAGAAATCACTTAAGTACTATTCCTAGCCTGTCCATGACCAAGTATATAAATACTTCCTTTGTTCTTTTTACCTTGTCTTAAATTTGTATCTTTAAAGAATCTATTCCTTTTATGCTGATTGTGTTACTAGTTTCTAAAATTAATTTTCGTATATTGATCCAGAGTTCATTATTCACAAATCAGGGGCTTACTATGTCTTCATTGAGAAGCTTTGTAAAATTGTTGTTTAATTTCACCTATGTTCTCATTGAATTTTAGGTGACAGAGCTTGAATGTGTAAGCAGCCAGGCAAATGCGGTGCATACCCATAAGACAGAATTAAATCAGACAATACAAGAACTGGAAGAGACACTAAAAGTCAAAGAAGAGGTATTTGCCACTTTCTACCTATTTATATCAGGCTAACTTGTGTTCCAAATATTAGTTTGTCAAATTCATGGAATAAAAGTTAAGATTGTGTACTTTTTTAAGATGAATTTTTTCTTGAGTTGCATGGAGCCTGTTCAAATCTGCCCCATTCTGATTTCTGTTGCTATGAACTGTGTTTAACTGGTGGGGCAGTTAGACTAAAAGAGTATCTGGTACCTTCTATATAAGGAGTGCATTTATAAAAATCAGGAAGCCATGAGAGATTTTAAAACAGTTTCACCAATTGTAACTCTCTGCTTTTCAGTCAAAAACTTTAATGTCCTAGGAAAGAATTCGATCTCAAAGCTTGAAGCAGCCTTTAAAATGATCAGTTTGTGTTTCTAAGCAGTTCTGTATCAAATTAGATTTGTTCCTGAAGATCATTCTGTTATAGACAGCACACCTATAAAGATGAATACATCCTGGGCCTGGGATTTAGCTCAGTGACACTGTGTCTGCCTCACAGGCGCAAGATTCTGAGTTCAATCCCTGGTACAAAAAAAAGATGAACACATCCCTCTGAAAGTCAGTATAAAGGAATGTGTATGAAATTACTGCTTCCTAAAATGTGGGACAATTATTTCAAGGGGAAATAAGGCCTTCCCCTTTCTTTAATGTAATTTATAAATGTTGTTAAAGACATTATTCTGCCATTTCCAGGAAATAGAAAGATTAAAACAAGAAATTGATAATGCCAGAGAACTACAAGAACAGAGGGACTCCTTAACTCAGAAACTACAGGTAAGTTGCCATAAAGTGTTTTATTTATTTCCACATAGAAAGCCATCAGTCATTCTTTCACATAGTAAGACTTCCTGTGACTTTATTTTGTAGTTTTTAGTCATTCTTCTTTCCCAGGACTTTGATTTATGCCCATTCTTTGATTTTTCAAAAATTACTTGGTAAGTTCATCCTAGGTAGCTTGTGATTCTGGTGACCATTTATAAATTTTCTTTGGTAAATTATTTAGTGAATTCCTACTTTTAATATAAAAATACCATGAATTTTTAAAAATTTTTCAAGTGGATATCATTTAATTTAGGAATCTGCTTATTTTTCACACTGAACTAATATATGAACTCTAGCAGTAGTTGTTCCCTACTGAACACAAGTGAGTGCTATTTTTCTTTCAGTCTAATTAATTTTGTTCACTTTTTTGTGTAAATCATAAACTTCCTGATTCAAATTTGCATACATGATTCCTGTCTCAGTGGTAGTCAGGCATAGTGAGTTAAGAATTCATTACCAAAGTTTCCTCTTTCCAGCTTAGGTACTTTTCTTTGGTTTTTTTGTTTGTTTGTTTGTTTTTGTTTTTGTTTTTGTTTTTGGAGACAGGGTCCTTTTTTGTTGTTATTGTTACCAGAGATTGAACTCCGGTCCTTGCGCTTACAAGGCAGGCCACCGAACCGCTGAGCTAAATCCCCAGCCCTTGGAGACAGGGTCTTGCCATGTACTCCAGGCTGGTCTTGAACTCACTATGTAGCCCAGGTTGGCCTTGAACTCTCAACAATCCTCCTGCCTCAGCCTCCCAAGTGCTGAGATTACAGGCATGTGCCACCATGCCCAACTAGGTACATTTATTACACCCCCATGGCCCTTGCCTTTGAGCAGTCTGGAAAAATAAATTACATATTTTGACTTGACCTCTTCAATGCTGTCCCTATATTTTAATCATCTATGTAGAGTAGTGGTTCTAACTAGTAGTTTTTCATCACAGGGAACATTTAACCATGTGTGGAGACATGATTTATTTTCACAACTGGGGAAGTGCTACTGAGATCTAATAGGCAAAGCCAGGGATACTGATTTTTTTGGCCCATAATGGCAGCACTATTGAAATTGAGAAACCCTTATAGAGAGCTATAATAAGCATATAATTAGCACTGGAAGAAACGGTGGAGGGAGGCTAGGTCTAGTTTTTTCTTGTGTTTGTTTTAGGTTTTGAGTATAGTACTTGTTGTGACTGGCTATATTAGGTACTTAGCACACATTACCTCTAATTCTCAATTAGCAGATGGGATATTCTCATTGGTAGAGAGAGGAAATGTTAACAAATTTAAGCAAGACACTTAGCTACAAAGCAATGAAGCCTAGATTTATTTGCATCTACATCATCTTCTACATGTCAAACATCTACATGTCAAACAAGTTCCCAAGCCATCCATAATGATTGTTTTTAAAGTTTGTCAGTGTAAATTTTTGTCACATATGCACTGTGCCACTTATGAAGAAAAACCAAGAGATGATTTATTCATATCAAACTTCTATGTTAAAATATCTACATATATTTTATCACTGATGAGCAATTGAATTTTACAACTGACATCTGAAGTTGTGAATATCAGTTCTTACACATTCTTCCTCTGAATATCAAAAGTTATTATCAGAAAACAACCTGCCTGGAACAGGACAGGGAAACTTTCAGCAAACTTGAGAATGAATTTTAAAAGACTAGACCTCAGAAATAATCTCTATTTCTTGTAGTTAAAAGAAAATTCCTCCTGTAACCTGGCTCCTCCTTCCCCTATCCGTACATGCACACCTGAATGTGTCCTAATTATCAAGTCCCAGAACCTTACATGTAATATAGAAAACAATTTATTAAAGTCCTTGTGATATAGGGGGAATAGATGTAAATCCCAAACCTGCTAGATATCTGAAACACAGGTGCATGTTCTCTAAAATCAAAGAATGAATTCTAGGAAGAACAGGACAAGAAAGTGGGTTGCCTGCCCACACCCCTTCTCAAAGGTATTTTATATGGCAAAGCCATGAGGTGAGGTGGGTACAAAGTGGGACAAAACCACAACTAACCAAAAAGATTACAAGTACAGTCACCCCAGGTAATATTGATAAAATGGGGATCAAATGGGAAAACAAGTCACATACCAGGAATTTCCCATTTAGAATATCAATCACTGCTATCTCTAGGAGAAGTAATCCCTGTTTTCTTTTTATAATGCTAATGTGCCTCAGTTGTTCTCCTTGTTGGCTCCTCTATGTGTTGGCTCCTTGAGGGCAGCCACATCTGACTGCCTACAAGGTATCTAACTTACCTACCTACAATTCTTGGACAGCAGGGGAACTCCCAGAATTCTATCCTGTATAGTTGGATTGGAGGTATGAATATGGATTGAAAAATCATAGCTATGCCTAAATGATCATGATAGAGTTTCTAATTCTCAGGTGGTTTGGTTTGGGGTTTTTTGTTTATTTGTTTTTGGTTTTGATGCTAGAGGTTGAACTCAAGGCCTTCATATGAGTTACATCTCCAGCCCCTTTTGATAAAAATAAATTTTGGGACAGGGTCTATAAGTTGCCAGGGCTAGGCTAAAACTTTCATCCTCCTGTCTCAGCCACCCAGAATGCTGGAATCATTGGTACACACCATCATGCCACCTAATTTCCAAGTTTTGCTAGTCAGATCTAAATACCAGTGTAACATATGCTCTTTGTGGCAAATTTAGAAAAGTATACTTAGAGGATGAAAATCAGCGTTAATCCCTTCATCCTAAGGCAAAGCATTGGGCAGTTCCTTTCCATGGTGTTTGTTTGAACATAGCTTTTTTGTTCTTTTTTCCCCCATGGCTTTCTTCTCATGTTCCTATAGAGGTGGTAGTTTATATTGTTTCCAGTGTTATGCCATAATAAATAACATCATAATAAATCTTCTTACATAAATAGTTGTTTTTCTGATGATTTAAGATTAATTTTTAAATGAAAATTGCCTAGTATCAAGGTTGTAAAATGTCTCATGCTGAGTCGTGCATAATGGTACTTGTCTAGCACCCAGGAGGCTGAGGCAGGAGGATTGCTGTGAGTTCAAGACCAGCCTGAGCTATATAGCAAGACCCTGTCTCAGAAAATAAGGGCCTATTTCTTTGTTTTTTGTTTTGGTTTCTCTCTTTCTCTCCCTCCCCCCACCTCCTCTGGGTGTGTTTTGTTTTGTCTTGTTTTTTTAAGACAGGTCTCGCCATTTGGTCCAGACTGGTCTTGGTAGCCCAGGCTAGCCTCAATCTTGCAGCAGTCCTCCTGCCTTAGCCTCAGGAGTGCCGGGATTAAGGTGTGCATCACCACACCTGTCTGCCTGTTTCTTCTTACCACACTGATATATGAGTGGGGTTTTTATATCACACACCCCCCCTTTGTTACACAAACTGTAACATACTCTAGATTACTTTTCTTGTACTTCTTTTTTTTTTGTTTTGGTTTGGTTATTTTCATCACCTGAAATATATCGTGTAAATCATGAGAGTTCATAGAGGTTTTGTTCAGTGTCTTTTAGAGGTGCATTGTACTTTGTGTGTGTGTGTGTGTGTGTGTGTGTATCAGTTTATTCAACCAACCCTTTTTTATTTGGGAATTTAGATTGTTTTCAGTTTGCTGCAATAATACTAAAATAAGTAACAGTGCAGTTTCTTTGTAATTGCTAGAGGTGTATCTTCTGGATAAATCCTTAAAAGCAAGATTTCTAAATGAGAAAGTAAACCCATACATAGTTGCATTAAATATTGCCAGATTCTCCACAGAAGCCATTGTACCAATTCACACTGCAGCCAGTTTTCTGAGTGCCTGTTTTTTCATAGTCTTTCTTTAAAATGCTTTTAATTTTTGACATTGAGAAATGGCAGCTTTGTTTCCCTTATTATGATGAAGATGAATATCTTTTATAAGTAAGAAAGCCATTTGTGTCTTTTTATGTGTGAATTTATTTATATCTTTTTTGTCCTTTTCTTCTTAGGGTTACTAATTCCTCCAAAACTTTCAAATATTTCTTCATATAAGAAAATAGAATTATTTTCTCTGTTAGTGTCTCCTCCCCATCCCCCTTCTCAGTACTGGGGATTAAACTCAGGTCCTTGCTCTTGCAAGGCAGGCAACTACTGCGCTAAATCCCAGGCCCCCTATGTTAGTGTCTTTTGAGTGAGACGATGTTAGTTTATGCAGTCTCATTCGTCATCTTCATTTATTGCCTCTGGTTTTTGAAGCATAGGCCTTTCTTACATTGTTATATGGAAATGCCCCTCCAGTACTTCAGTGATTTCATTTTTTAGGTCTATGTCTCTGTCCCTTTTTGCATGTCTTTTTGTGTGTAGTATAAGATACAGTTCTAGTTTTATTTTTTTTCCAAATGTCTGTCTAGTAATCTCATTGCCATTTATTTTAAATTTTGTATTTTTTCAGAACTTTGAGATGCTCAGTTTCCATTTGTATTTTGGTCTGTTTCTTGATTTCTGGTTCAGTTCCCTTGGATACTCTTTATTCCTGTGCCAATACCACACTGCTTTAATAATAGAGATCTTAAGTGTGTTGTAAAAACTACTACTAGTAAAACTAGTCATTCCTTAGAGCTTTTCTTTTTCACTAGTTTTCTTCCTTATTTTTCTATATAAACATTAATATTTGCTATAGTACCACTTTTAAGGTCAACTAAAAATTAAGGTCTGTGAAGTTTTGTTGGGATTGCTTAGAATTTATAGTTACAATTTTAGGAGCACTGCAGTTTCCTAAACTTTTCATCCTATCCAAGAACAAAGTATAACTTTCCATTTGTTCATGTCTGCCTTTGTGTTTTTCAGGAGTTAGTTTTGGGATTTTCATCATGTTGGTTTCGCATATTTCTAAGTGTTTACTTGTAAATATTTTATTGCTTTTGCAAATGGGATTTCCTCTTCCATTTATAACCTTTAGATTTTGTGTATATTGAGAGTTTTCTCCCCCCCACACCATTTTGGATTTTT